TATTATAATTACTCTCGTTAATCAGTATTTTTGTGTTATCAAAATCAAAATTATGCAACTTCTGTTGTGCATGCTGTGTTAATGCTGTACCATTTTCGTTATTTTTTCTTAGGCTATACTTATGTTCGTATATTATTTTCTTTAGATATTGTCCTGTTTGACCTATGTATGTGTTATCACAATTCAAACAGTCTATTTTGTAAATTACATTGGGCGTGTCTAACTTGTCAATCCTAGGTTTAAATTTTGTGAAACATTCATTTGCTAAGGCGTTTTTAGTTTCTTCTGCTATGTTGATATTATGTGGTTTGAATATATTTTTAATTTTTGTGTTAATTTCCGGAATATATGGTAATGATATATACTTGATATCACCTTCTCTTCTTTTATTTCTGTTTTTCCATTTAGTTGAATTGTATATTTTATTTATCCTTTGCTTTATGATTGGTTCAAAAAATGACCTTGGATAGTTGTTTATTCATAATATTTTTTTTAAAGATGTTTTGTTCTATACTCCCAATGTGACAATTTAATGGCTCTATCTGTAAGTGCCGTTATTACACTTCTTTTATATTTCATGGGAGCATTCGATTGATAATTCAGGTACCTACCAGACCATACCTCCTTTGTGTATCAATTTGTTTTGATTTCCCCGTTGTTAACATAATTAATTGTTAGGTCTAGAAAGTTTATAGAATTTCCTTTATCTTCTTCGAGAGTAAACTTTAGGGTGCCATATAAGGCATTAAACTTATCTAGTGTATATTGAATTTTGTCTTTTGGGAGGCACATTATGCAGTCATCCACATATCATTTAAAAAATTCACACTTATAGTTTAATTTAGATATTATTTGTTCTTCCAAATTCTCCATTACCAAATTTGCAATTGTTGCTGCTATGGGAGAACCCATTGCTACTCCATATATCTGTGAATAGAACTTGTTTTCGTACTGGAAATATGTGGATTTTAAGCACAACTCTACCGCCTCAATAATTTCTTTTTCGGGTAATTTTGTATGTTCTTTTATCTCTGCCCATTTATTTTTTATACAGCTTATTGAGTAATCTATTGGTATATTTGTATATAATGATACAACATCCAGTGATATTGTCCGATGATTCTTTGGTATTTTTTGTTGTTTTATAAAATCACAAAAACTCCATGAGTCTTTAATGTAATATTGTGACTTTCCCAATACATTACTCAAAA